TCTCACTCTCCGATGAGGACATCTCGGTTTCTTTCCCATGTAATTCACACAATTCAGAGCAATAATTCTCCAGGGAACTCTGCCCGTCGCTGCATTGAGATATCCTGGAATTAGACTTTGTCACTGGACTCTTAAGTACTCTTATTTGGGATGTGTAGCGATGAGACGTCTTTTGGATTCCCGAGGCCTCTGGTTTGACCCTGACGTATGCTTCCTTGGACAGTGTATCACTGGAAGCTCTGAAAATACCCGTATCTTTTGAGGTTGACGAGCCTTAACATGGCTTCAAAGGAGATCGCAGTGTAGATGGAGAGGCCTAATTGCCTTATTACTCATGCAATCTGATTATAATAATCTTTGCATTTGGTACAGCACCTTATCAAGGTCTCAAGATGTTTTGACGTTCTTCACAGGATATACTATAAAGTGTAGTGACTGCGCGTTTTACAGTCAGATGCAACTTGATGATTTCTGGGGTGATATTCATGAATAATATTCATGATATTCTGAATGATAATAATAACAATAATAATCTTTGCATTTGATACAGCGCCTTATCACGTCTTCGAGACGTCTCAAAACGCTTCACAGAATATACTGTAAAGTGAATTGACTACATATTTTGTGGGCGAAATGCGGCAGCCAATTTGATCCTTTCACAACGCACCCAACCTGCTCTTGCTGTGCATCTTTCATTATCTCTGCACAGCCTCGCTCTGCCGGCAACCTGGGCCTCTCTGTGTGTCTGTCTGTCTGTCTGACACACCGGGCAGCGCTCTCCCAGGACCTCTGTCACTCATCTTCACCGATTGTTTCAGAGATTTTCTTTTGCCAGGCAGGCACGAAGGTGTTTGTTTCTAATTTACACTCTCGGATGTAGCTTTCGCATATATATAACCCTTTCTGCAGGGCCTTGGGACGTCCTCCCAACTTGAAAGGCGCAAAACAAATGTAATTTTGTATTGTATTGATTGTGGAAAAATGCTGCTGTTCCACTGTTTCAGCCTCGAGTTGAAAATAAAGGGGGTGGGGTGGAGATCAGGCGTCTCTCAAAACCGTAATCACAGTCGCGCTGTTTGTAGTGCGTTGCCCTTGCTGTGTCTGGAGTATTTCTCCTGCTTGTCTCCACGTTTCCTGGCTAACATAGAAACAGGAGGAGGCCATTCAGCCCCTCAAGTCTGTTCCACCATTCTACAAGATCATGGCTGATCTGTACCTCAATTCCAATTACCCGCCCTTGCCCCCGTATCCCTTAATACCCTGACCTAACAAACATCTATCCATCTCAGGCTTGAGAATGTGAATGGATCCAGCCATAATCCACGGCCTTTGTTAGAAGCAGACATTAACATAAGACAACTAATAAAGGCCCTGTTAAAGCCTGGCACTGACCACATCCCCAGTTGAGTTGCTGGAATAAACGCTGCCTTGTCACTTTCCTCTTCACTGAATGGCAGAAACAGCAGATAGCCTGAGGGGCATCACCAGGGTTCACTGGATCAGGTTCACCTGGAGGATAGTTTATGACGGAGCAAAGAACGAAAGTATTTTTTTTACAGGGCTTATGATTGTTGCCGCACTGCATTTCACAGTGACTTCTGTCAAGTGTAGTGGCCCTTGTTCTTGTGGGTGAACCAGGCAGCTATCTGGGGGACGGTTGGTCAGGACACTGGGGAAAGTGTCCTTCTCTTCTCGAATATCCCTCGGAATCTTTAATATCCACCCGAACAGGGACCTCTTTTTAACGTATCGTCTGAAGGACAGCTCCTCCCAACAGTGCAGCACTGCACTGGAGCGGCAAATAGACGATACGAGTTCCAAAACCCGACATGGGGGTTTGAACCCTTTCAGACTCTATGAGGCGAGAGTGGTAGCGACTGACTCAGACTGGCACACCCACAAACTCTCCCTCCCCTCCCCCCCCACTGCCAACCCCTGACCGCCATCATCTGGAGAGGAGTCCAGTTCGCTGAATTAAAGTCATACAGTTATTGGTGCCAATTGCACACTCCTCGGACGTTTACCATAATTTCGGTGAATACAAGGTTGTTGTTTTGTGAGGCAGCAGCACAGCCACAACAGTCGGGTTAGTGTGAGATTTGACAAGGCAACAGAGTGGGAACGATCAACCTATATTGACCGGCTGCCCGGGAGCTGCTCAGCACACTGCACTTCCTTATCGGGAAAGGGATGTTTCTAAAGGTCCATTATCGAAGCCAGGGCAAGGAAGTGGTGACAGCTCCAGAGAGACAAACCCGTGAGAAAGCAGACTGGTGTAACAGTAAGGGCTGTGTCTCCCACAGTCAGTCAGCCTCCCTGGTTTTAGTTTACAGTCTCTCTCTTACAGTGTTGATGGAACCTCAGGAACAACACACATTATCTTTGCTTTATGGTAACTGAAGAGCATTGAAGCACACTGTTCTGTTCTGGTGACCTTTTCTTCTCTTTCCTCCAAATTCACACAGCGGTGAGAAGTGCAAGCAGGCGGCAGGGATGGGGGGGGACGGAAAGAGGGGAAGTCAGAGAACCAAACCGTTCTCATGCTGATACCTGATCCTTGCCGTGGACCAGTGAGGCTTGTTGAAACTTCCACCGGATCGTAACCCACTAGGTCCCGAAATCCTAGAACTCCCTCCCTCAATCCCTCCGCCTTGCCCTCTCACTCCCTTCCCGCTTTCAAATCTCGCCTAAAGTCCTTCCTTTTTGATTGCGCTCACGGTCCGCCACTGTCAAGCGCCCCGAGACGCTACCCCGCACGAAGGACGCTACATAAATGCAAGTTGTTGTTGTAGACCGGGTTGCCTTCACGTTTTAAGAGTTTGTAAAGCTCTCGAGTCAGAAGGTTGTGGGTTCAAACCCCACGTCAGGACTTTGAACGCCTATAATCTAGGCTGACGCTAGTGTAGCGTTGGGGGCAGTGCTGCATTGTCGGAGGTGCCGTCCTGACGGTAAACCCAGGTCTCGTCAGCCTGTTCGGGTGGATGTTAAAGATCCCGCGCGGGAGTACTCAAAAAAGGAGGGGAGTTTCTCCGACAATCCCCCAGATAAAAATGGGCACTCACTATTGTGGGATATTGTTAGTGCGCATTTGCCTACAAAATGCACAGTCAATACACTTCACACTAAAATCCTGTGAAGTGTTTTGAGATGTCCTTCTGATATGAAAGATGCTGTATCAAATGTAAGTATTATTGTTAAGTGATAGATCGCAGAGCTGGGCTACGGGAAATGGATGTTACGTGGTGCCTCTTGAATCTTCGCAGGTTAGGTTCAGCACGAGAGAGAGATATGAAGTGAAGCTGTCTAGACCAACAGTCTTAAGGCCAGAAGAGCTTTTCTACTGCACAGCACAGCTGTGTCACTCCCCAACCCCCACCAGCTTGGAACGTGATTGCCAATTTGTGCCAAATTAATATCCATCTCGTGGCCCAAATGCATTTCACAAGAGCTGGTAGAGGGAGAGGAGTCTTTGATTTGAAGCAAGTGACAAGCCAGCTTTGCAGGAATCTCTCTATCGGCCATCTACTGTCAATCGCTGATCAGTTTTCATGAGTTAAGGGGAGCTGGCCTGCCCGGTTAGGATACTCGGGCCAATTTCAATTTGATTCGTCGGCAAAAGGATCGAAATGAAATGTTAATCAGACCCTCGAAACTGCGGGAATTCATGAGGGAGAAAATCGGCTTCATTGCTGCACAGCTCTCTGCGTGGACAGTTCAAAAGAAAATGGTCCTTGACGCTTTGTAATTGCAAGTGTCTTGGTGGCTGAGTGGTGCAGACTGGTTATATGAGTTAGCCAGTTCACGAAGTAGTGAGTGAGATTCATTGTCTGTCTGTCGTTCCTTTCCTGTCTGTCTTTCCTCTGTCTCTATTCCTTGAAATCACTGCTTATCTCTCTGTCCCTTTCCATCTCTCTCCTCTGAGTCAAAAGGTTGTGGGTTCAAGCCCCACCTTGTGACTCTGTTCTCATAGTCTTAAGCTGGTGCTCCCTCCAGTACAATACTATGGTGGGGGTGGGGGGGAGATGCCCTCATTGTTGGGAGGCCTCGTTCTTCTGATGAGACGTTAACCCGAGGTGCCCCACCCCACCCATTAGGTATAATTGCGTTTGCCTTCCGGGAACAGGAAATGAACCTGGCATCTTCAATGAAATTGTAATCCGGCAAAGAAACACAGGCGACGTGACCTGATTTTACTGGATTCCCAGAGACCTCACATCACTTGCAAAAGGTTAATTAAAATCGTTTAATGCAATTAATTGTAAATTGGTCAGGTCGCCTCGCCCCCACCCCCCCCCAACCCCCGCTTATTATTGAGTGTGCGCTCAACAAGGACAGGTGTGCACACAGACAAATGCTCACTCTTGCACCTAGCTTTGATGTCTATAGCCCACTGTTGCACTGCTCAGCACTGCTGCCCACAAATCCGTTGGGACGAGCTGTGAAAATCTTCATTCGCTTATTGAAGACGACCGGAGTTATTTGGCAAAAAGCAAGAATTTTTTTTTCATTTTGGGGGCAGAGTAAGACATCTGAATGCTGGGGAATGCTTTTCATGTTTATTTCTCATCGTGACTGAGTCGAATAATATTATTAATTATTAATAATAATTGATATTAATAATATAATAATAATAATCTTTGCATTTGATATAGTGCCTTTCAACAGCAACAACTTGCACTTATATAGCGCCCTCCACGCAGGGTAATGTCTCAGAGCACTTTAATGCCAGGAGGATAACTCAAAGCATTTCACGGGTTCACTGTAAAGTGTAGGGACTGTATTTTTGTAAAGGAACTTCTGGCACAGGGTCAGAAGCAAAGTAAAGCTGCTGTTTCAGCGATGCCTGTTACACCCAGCCTCCTCTGGTTTTGCAGGCGGGTGTTTTGCCACGAGACACAGGACTGAACAGGAGGTTGACACAGCAGCTACCATCTGGGTTGAACCTGCGAGTATTGTATATTTATGTACTGTATCTAAATTAAGGTCTGTTTGTCTTTCAGATAGAAGATGCCATGCTAATGTTTGATAAGACAACCAACAGGCATAGAGGTAAGTGTGAAGCTCCAGTATAAACTCAATGACGGAGAAAATACAGTACTACATTTCACATAACCTAAATGATGGGAGAGAGAAGGGGTGGGGGGGGGAAGTTAATATGTATTGCAAGCTCTGAAAGAGACCCAGGGTCTCTGTTATGACACTGAGGTGTTCTCTGTTGGTTCTCCCAATGAATTCACCAGAACATTATGTATTGGTGACCCTCTGAAATGAAGGTCATTGCACAGTGTGTAGCTTTACTGGCTCAATACTCGGAACAGCAAGCTTCCGGTCTATTACTTGTATAAAATGGAGGCCCTGTTATGAACAAGTAACACACAGATGACCACGTCTAGATCGCTAGGTTTTGCAGGGTAGGAGATCTGAATCCTGGAGGAACATTTTTCCTGTTTGTTGCTCTCTCTGGCTGAGTAGAACACGTGAGCTCTAGTTGCTAGTTAGGGAGGTTCCTCAGGTTAGATCGCTTGGTATAGAGAGCTGGGTCTAGATCTTAACCTAGCAAATGTTAGACAAAAAAGACCAAGGTCCAATTGGTATGCCTTCCACCATCCTGGCAATCGCACAAAAGTGGCAAGTCCTGATCTATGCATACACTGTATCCTCAAATATTATTTTCTGGAAGAAATCTAATCCTAGGGAGGCAGTGAATGCAGAAAATGTCATTTGGTTCCAGAACAAATCAGAGAAATTTCCGCTAGAAAATAATATCTTGCGATATAGTATATAGTTTGGGACACAACATGTCAAACGACTGCCAGGATGGTGGAAAGCGAACTCGATGGACCTTGGTCTTCTTTCGCCTTAGCAAATTCTTATGTTCTTATTTGCATTCGAAAGAATCAAAAACATTGTCCTTCCACCATCTTCCTAGGGAACCTGTTAATAGAATTACCCTTTGCTCACTGAAATAGTTAGTTCGAACCATCACCATGGAGCACAGGAGATATGTCCTTCCCCTTCGAAGGTGGGAGGGGGGTTTCAGTGCTGGGGCTATGAAAGTGGGGTGGACCTGGGTTAGCCAGGACTCAGCAGATTAGGTCAGGGATGTGTGGATTCAGTCTTGCACGTTATACAGACGGTCGGCAGCAGTTTGTGACCGGCGCAGGGAGCATTCAATGTATTAATTATCTTCAAAGTGTTTGATGGATTCTGGCTTTTGAGTGCTCTATTATTGTGTGTATGTGTGTGCGTGTGTGTGTGAGTGTGAAAAAAAAGAAAGCATTTTCATTGAAACTGTTCTTCAAAGGGGGAGCTCCCGGTCTCTGTTTTGACATCCTCACTTTGCTCTTTGGATTTGAGACTAATTATGCCTTGCCGCTCGCAACAGCTTAAAATTTGTTATAAAATGTTTTTTTTTGCTGGATGTTTCATGAAACAAAACGCTGAGTATAATCCACACAGCGGAGTCGAGCAGCTTAAAAAATAACACAGGAATCGAGTGTCAGCATCGTGACACTGATATCTGTTTAATCGGCACACTAAGTGGAGTGACATAGACGCTGGTGGGGGGAAGAGGGTATTATTGGGGGGCAACATGGTCACAGCGTGATGCATCCCCCCCCTCCCCGAGCACAGCTTTGTGGCCAGCGCATGAGGTGTTTGGGCGCCTGTTAATTAGCTTAAGAGGCAATAAGCCTGTGGGTAAATGTGTCACAACTTCCAGCGATGGCGATTTTAAACCGAGAAACAGAAGTGGCGCATTGTTAGAATGTAATCTTCCTTAGTTAAAACAAAGGCTTTTGGCGACAAATCTTTTGGCGTGGAGTCCTGCAGCTTTTAATAATAATAATAATAATAATAATAATCCTTGCATTTGATATAGCGCTTTTCAAGTCTTCTCGACGTCTCAAAGTGCTTCACAGAATATGCTGGAAAGTGAATTGACTATATATTTGTGGGCGAAGCTTAGTGATTAGAGAGCTCGCCTCGCAAGTGAGAGGAACCAGGTTGGATTCCCGGCCTGGGCGAAACGTTTCCTTACTCCACACCCCCGGTAGAAACCCGCTTGTTAGTCGATTGGGGGGGGGGGTAATAATTCCTTCAAAATAAAATTAATTTGGTCACTCAATCCACGATTGTTTGTGGGACACTCCTTTGTGCATTTGGCTGCCATGTTTCGCCCACAAAACATACAGTCAATTCACTTTACAGTATATTCTGTGAATCGCTTTGAGACGTCTCGACAACGTGATTAGGTGCTCCATTAAATGCAAGGATTAATATTTTATATTTATTAAATCAGCTGGTAATTGCACCTGACGGAACAGCTATTGCCTGACCCAACGGTGAATGAATTTGCCGTTCCACAAATGTTGGGAGAGAGGTTTCTTTCTGAAGGCAGGGGGTGGGCGGGAGTGTTTGGAATCTTATTTGCTTGAGGTAAGAGTCTCAAATGGATTATTGTTAATAATAAAATAATAATTATAAATAATGATTAACTGCCTGAGAGGGCGGTAGAAACCGATTCAGTAACAACTTTTAAAAGGGAATTGGATAATAATAATATAATAATAATCCTTGCATTTGATATAGCGCTTTTCACGTCGGGAGGACGTCCCAAAGCGCTTCACAGAACACACTGTAAAGTGAATTGACTATATTTGTGGACGAACGCGGCAGCCAATTGCGCACAGCAATGTCCCACAAACAGTCGTAGATTGAAAATGACCAATTTGTTATTGTTTTGTTTTGGAGGGATTATTATTAGGCTCTGTGTGGAGTAAGGAAACTTGCCCAAGGTTTCGCCCTCTGCCTGGAATTGAACTCAGGTGTCTCACTTGCAAAGCGAGTGCTCTAACCACTGAGCTACAGGACTCCACATATTTACTTGAAGAGGAAAACTTTGCTAGGGTATGGGGTAAGAGCGGGGGAGTGGGACTGATTGGTAGCTCTTCTAAAGAGCTTCTGGGGAGCTTTTTATTTTAAGCTTCCCACAGAGCCATGTGGGCTTTAGTTTGCTGGGTTCTCCATCATTGAGTGCACTTCAGTGGGAAGTGTCTCCAGTGTCCCCAGTCTGCCCGGCAATGATATTACGCTCCAAGGAGACCCCAGTTTACCTCTTACACCCCCACAAGGAGAATTTGGGTCACTCAATCCATGACTGTTTATGGGACGCTGCTGTACGCAGTTGGCTGCCGCGTTTCGCCCACAAAATACACAGTCAATTCACTTTGCAGCATATTCTTGTGAAGCACTTTAAGACGTCTCAACGACGTGATAAGGCTCTATATCAAATGCAAGAATTATTAGTATTAATATGGAGGGAGGGGGGAGGACAAGTATTTTTCTATTGCTTAAAAAAAAAGTCCTGCGAGGCGGTAGTTTTAAATTTTGCCGCAGAATCCCAAGAGATTGGCTGCTTATGAGCTCCAAACGGAGACACAGCGGTGTCTACCGGCAGCGAGTGACAGAAGCGTACGGGGGTAACTGACAAAGACAGACCCCACCTTGGCTGCCGTCACTGAAACAATCAAAATGCAGATGAGCCTTTTTTTCCCCCTGCAATTTAAATATTAATGTTTATTTTTAGATGGGAGGCAAAGGGAAAGAAATGAGACAAAATCGTTTTAATATCTGTCTGGTGTAAATGCTTCTCCCTCTCTCTCTCTTTCGCTAAATACAGTGACAGGTTGTAATCGGTTCTTACAAACGAAAATGTAGTTTTGTGGCTTTTTTTTTAAGTATTAAATTACAAATTAAACAGCGAGTCCCAGTGACTGGAAGCTGTTCCTGTCAAATTGCGTGTTTGCGGAAGACGTCCGTTTGCTTTTGTTTAGAGTTTTTTTTTGGAATGCATTGCCACTAAATTTAGACTCAAAGGAAGACTATCATTTGCTCAAAGGAAGACTATCATTTGGAGTGTGATGCGTTCTTCAAAATAGAACATGTGCCTTTTAACATAAACCCTTGTGACAGGTCCTGAGGATTATTTATGAAACCCGCAGATATTAAACAGTGGGGCGGCCCCGGGAAGATTTCAGTTCTCAGCTATTTCAACTATCATTCTCGGGGAATAATAATAATAATAACATTAATCTTTGCATTTGATATAGCACTTTATCAAGTGGTTGAGAAGCTTTGCAGAATATACTGTAAACTGAATTGAAGATGTTTTGTAGGCAAAACGTGGGCAAAACGGGCTTTCAGTCCACCTGCCCCCACTCTCTAGCGCTCCATCCTGGAGTACCTCTAACTCGTTCCCCCACCTCTTCCAAGGTATCTGACACGGGGACAAGACAGTGGACTGGTACCTGACTGGGTTGGGGTAATGATGGCTCTTTTGACGTTGGGCAAAAACTGGCTAGAGAGCTGCCACCTCGTGTGCCATTATCCTTGGTATCCCACGGTGTGCGTGATATTGTGACTGAGTGCCTGGGTGTGCGATGTGCAGTCACTTAACCAAGATACATAGGGAATGCATTTCATGGGGGACATTTTCTTGTGGAGTCCTGTAGCATAGTAATAATGCACGCCCACCTCGTAAGCAAGAGGACCCAGGTTCGATTTCTGGACGGGGCGAAACCTTAGTACTCCCCTGTTTAAGCGCTCTGAGACGCCGTCCGGCGTGGAGGATGCTATATAAATCTAAGTTGTTGTTGTTTACCCTGCGGTAAGTAGGAACCCAGTTATAAGTCGATTGGCGGATCACTTTCTGGGAGTAGTAATAATTCTCTCCCCGCCCCCCGAAAAAAGTCATTCTGGCCACTCAATCCATGACTGTTTGCGGGACATTACTATGCGCAATTGGCTGCTGCATTTCGCCCCTAAAATAAACAGATAATCCACTTCACAATATATGCTGTGAAGCATTTGGAGACATCTCAATGACGTGATAAAGCGACATATCAAACACAAGGATTATTAATAATATTATTTTGCATGTTTCTGTTAAGAAAGTGAATTTATCCATCGCGAAGCCCAGAGATCCATGCCACACCCCGAAGGATATTATGCTTTATTGTGCAACATAGAGCCTTATCAAGTCCTATGGA